CCTGTCTTCAAGGCTTGTTACGTTGCTCGAGGTTTCAGTCAGCGAGAGGGAGTAGACTTCTTTTAGACCTTCTCCCCCCACCCCGAAGATGACCACTCTTTGGGTGCTGCTGCACGTTGCCGCTCAGCGTGACTACGAGCACAGCTTTCTTACAGGGCAGCCTGCACGAGGAGATCTGGCTGCGCCGCCCTCCTGGCTTCACTGGGTCGTTCCCTCCTGGTACCCAGTGGAGCCTCCGGCGGCCGGTCTACGGTCTCCGCCAGGCACCACGTGAGTGGCACGACACACTGAGGACTACACTTGCGGCTCTTGGGTTTGCTCCGTCGACTGCTGACCCATCGCTGTTTCTGCGCACCGACACGTCATTGCCACCATTCTACATCCTCGTGTACGTCAACGACTTGGTCTTTGCCACTACTGACACTGAGGCTCTTGCCCTGGTGAAGTCGGAGTTGCAGAAGAGACATACGTGCACAGACCTGAGTGAACAACGCAGCTACCTTGGCTTGGAGATCACCCAGGACAGAGCACGCCACACCATCACACTAACTCAGTCACACATGGTGCAGCAGGTCCTTCAGCGCTTCGGCTTCACCTGGTCCTTGCCACAACGCACTCCTCCGGCTACAGGCCACTCGCTCTCAGCTCCACCTTCGGACGAGTCCGTAGATCCGAGTGGCCCGTACCCAGAGCTAGTGGGCTGCCTCACGTACCTGATGACCTGCACTCGACCTGACCTTGCGTACCCTCTTGGCCTTCTGGCTCGCTACATGGCTCCTAGTCAGCACCAAAAGGTACACATGGATGCTGCGAAGAGGGTACAGCGCTACTTGTGCGGTACATCGGGCATGGGGCTCATGCTTGGGGGGCGGAGCGCAGTTGTCCTCATTGGGAACTCAGACGCTTCTTGGGTTGACGACCAGGCTACGCAGCGGTCATCACAGGGTTACACCTTGAGCCTTGGCTCTGGTTCAGTTTCTTGGCGTTCTGCACGCTCGTCTTCTGTTCTTAGCTCCAGTTGTGAGGCTGAGATCTACGCCACAGTCATGGTTGCACAGGAGTTACGTTGGCTCACCTACCTGCTGACCGACTTGGGAGAGCGGCCTCGTTCTCCTCCAGTGCTGTACGTCGACAACAAGGCCGCCATTGCCTTGTGTGAGGAGCACAGGTTGAAGCACATCGCTCTGCGTTACTTCTTGGCTCGAGAGTTGCAGCAGCGTGGTCATCTTTGTCTTGTTGACGTGGCCACTCGGGCCAACATTGCTGATATATTCACCAGGGCACTTCCGTTTGGTGATCATCAGCGTTTCTGCACTTTGTTAGGCCTTGTGCCCACTTTGCCTCACTTGCTTTAGACTTTGCTTGTACTGTGATCTATATATATGTACCTGCATGCCTGTTCTGCTAGGTAGAGATCACTGTGCTGTTGTTGTTGCATATAGACATCTGCATATGAACTAGCCTTGTGGCCCTTTGCTTGTGCTCAGTGTGTGTGGTGACGTTGTGATCCACCCTGAGCTTGCTTTGCTTCTCTTGACTGGTCTTGTGACCCCTTGCTAACCCCCTCTTTGCCTATGGGGGTGTGTCAAAGTATATATATGCTATATATGTTAACGCTGTAGTGGGGTAGCCAATATGGGGTACAGCCCCTTTTTGGGTTTCATACCTGTACCCAACTCTTTCATAGTTCATTCATTTCCTGCTGCTAGTTTCTAACACGTACACCCAAGTCATATGAGTGTAGACGTCCACAATAGTAAGGAAATACTCAGCTCCAGCAGCTCCAAGCTTCAGGGGGACCACCACGTCCATCACCACCTCATCAAGTTGTGCCTTAGCCGTTGCCTCCGAACTAGAGAATGGGAAACAGGTGAATTTGGCTTGCATACACGTCGGGCAGCAAAGTACCTCATCGGGCTCCCCCTTCACACATATGCCAGCAACCATCTTATTCTTTACTAGCTGCTGCAAGATGGGCAGGGCCACATGCCCCATGCGCCGATGCAAGGTGAGCCAATCACACTCCCCCGTAGCCGAAGTTGGATTGGAGAATGCCGCGCTCGCAATAGCGCCCCACATACTCTCTCCGTAGTCCTCCTCCGCTGCTGCCTCGGGGTTCTCCTCACCCTTTTGCTGCTCCTTGGCTGCTGCACCTCTCTCCTTAGGTTCACTGAACCTGCTGGTCCCTCCAGGTTTGCTCTTCTTGAGCTCATTCTCTTTAGCACGACCGTTCGCGCCATCGTCGCTACCAACCGCTCCACCTTTGGTGCTGACGCTTGCTGCCACTTGCCTCTCCTTATGCATTGGGACCACAGGGATTTGCCACATCTCGTTGTAGACATCCCTATCCTCATGAAGGTCCCAAAGAATCCGATCGCCAAGCCTTGCGGTGTAGGTCTTGGCTCCCTTTGAGTTCATGTCCATGCCGGCCTTTGCCAACCGCCGCACGGAAATCAGGTTCGCAGCAAGGCTGGGCACCCAGAGCACGTTTTTGAGGCCCACCATCTTCCCATCAGCATCTTTGAACATGGCCTTGCCCATGCCTTTCACCTCCACTCGCTGCCCCAAAGCCGATGTGACATGCTTCACCGGTGACGGTTCGAGTTTGGTGAGCAAGTCTGGGCGAGGTGTCATGCTATAGGTAGCGCCACTATCGATCACCCAATAGTCCGGGGGGTGTAGGGTCACCTTCCCCACAGCTGCTGGCTCCTCAAAGCCTTCATCCTTCTCTGGACCAGCCGGTACTTGCGTCGACACAAAATTGAATAGGCTCGGGTACCCATCGTTGCTCGGGTCCTTGTCATTGTCTTCGCTCTTCATGTTTGCAGCTCCGCCACCGCGACCGCCACGGCCTCCATGGCCTCTTCCTCTCCCTCCTCCTGCTCCTCTACCCTCCTGGCCTTGCGTAGGGGTCCAACCATTAGGGAGCTTAATCGCGCCACATATGTCCGCTCTTGTGGCAATAATGGCATTCGCCGTCAAATCGCCCGCGACTGCGCCCGTAGCTCTTGTTGTCGCTGCCGTAACCGCCACTCCCGCGGCCTCCACCGGAGTTGCTGCCACCAAACCTTCCTCCCCCTCATTCTCTGCCTCTTCGACAACCAAATCCATGGCCGGAGTAGCGCCACTATCGATCACCCAATAGTCCGGGGGGTGTAGGGTCACCTTCCCTACAGCTGCTGGCTCCTCCAGTGCGGATGACGCTGCCCCAGCGCCATCCGCACTCGCCAACTCACGGCGGCGGAAATCCTCTTGAAGGATAGCTTGCTTCACGTCTTCAAGCGAGAGGCGGGGCAAGTCGCGATTCAGGTTGATGATGAGCGAGGACCATGACTCGGGGAGTAAGGCCAGCAACTTGGTCTTCTTTTGGAGCTCACTATAGTTCATATAAGCTCCCTCAAGCCGCGTCAACAAGTCGAAGAGTTTCTGCACCCCCTCTTCCACGGGTTCATCTTCCTCAATTCGTAGCGTCGCCATTTGCCTTTCCAACACCACAGCTACCGCCACTGTTGCAAGAGCATGTACACCCTTGAGAGCAGCCCATGCTTTTGGTCCCTTCTCTGGTTCATGCTGGAATGGCTTGATGTGACGGATTTGGCTGCTTCCTAACGCTTGCTCAAGTAGGAGATAGCCTTGTGCGCTCTTCCGCACCCACGGGCTCTTCTCCGGGTCGTTCTCGGGACGCTTCTCTGTTCCTTCCATCAACTCCAGCAGATCATAGTGATCAAACACATTCTCCATTCAGAAGGACCATTCAGCAAAGTTGTCAGTATTGAACTTGTCAAGCCTGAACACTCTTGGTTCGTCCTTAGAAGGTCCAAGAGTCGGTTGCACGGGCGCCGTGGCTGAATCACGGGCTTGGCCTTGTGCTGGGGCTTCTCCTCTGCCACCAGCACCTCTGCCACCCCTTTCCTCAGGTCCAGCCATTGTCGAAACTGCTCCAAGGGGCTCTGATACCACTTGTTATAGTCACAGTACGCTTCAACGTGCCTAAAACGAAAGATAGAGTGCACAGTCGGATTTCTGCATGGCGGCTTTAAACGTTTATAGCGTTCTGCTCACAGCTTCAAATGACATGATTCAACTTGGATCTAGAGCGTCTTATCATCACCTACAACAGGCAATTTTAATTGCACGATTTCACCAAGTATTAACGACACAGCGTTGGTCTGAACGAACGACACTATGGCAGCCACTATAGTCTTAGAACACAAGATAGGAAGAGTTACGAGTTGGGAATGACTCCCAGCTCCTACAAACCCCAAGAGCTGAGGTACAGTGATGTGGAAGAGTGCCACACTATCCCCAACCACGAAGGGTCTCGAAACTACCCTTCACTAGGGCCTACACCAAGTAAAATGTTACACTACACAAAGTAATGTAACTATCTTCAATTTCTTGAGGTGTACCCTTTTGGCGAGCTTTGCGATCACTTAAATGTTGACACCAGGGCTCGGGTTCTTCATCACAAACTCATCCTTGAGTTCTTGATGGGTCTGCTGCACACACCTGGGACACGCCAAACGCTCGACAAGCGACAAAATAGAAACCGCGCACGACAAAGTAGAGACCGCGCGGGACACACAAAATGACCACGTTACACGCGACTAGCGATCATTCGCTATTGACTTGACCCACACACTCGACATCATGACCCATCATTCACACACTTTTATAAGCATGAAATATATATTTCATGCACTTATTCCATTCCATGCACACACGCATGCACGCACACAAACCACAAGCCGAGTGCAAACCATAGGGTTGCACCAATAGTCGACCACCTGAAGTTGGCGCCCCCCCAAAGTCTGCACCCTTGCAGTGGCCCCTGTGCAGGTCGACCAGCCCTGTCGACCAGCTCGCCCACTGCTGCAGATCGGTAGCTCCCCTCACACCCGACCACGAAGTCGGCTCCGCCCAAGCGAGGACAGGGCCTGACAACGACTTCTGTTGACAGTCCCCACCTCCAGTGTCACCACCCCTAGCAGCACCGGATTCTACAACAACGGGCTGAAGAGGCGGCAAAGATGGCCGAGGTGGAAAACCAGGACGGGGACAGGGTGATGACTCGTTGTGTGCCCCTTCACCTCACCATGCCCCTTCACCCCATCGTCCTCCTTCACCCCACCATGCCCCTTCACCCCACCATGCCCCTTCTCCCCACCGAATCCCTTCACCCCACCATGCCCCTTCACCCCTGCAGGTACCTGTACCGGGCACTGATAGCAGGGGATACAGCGCTGCGTGTGAGGGCGCTGAGGGTGCATAAGAAGCTGACGAAGAAGGCGGGGTTGGGCTGCATCATGCGCGTCATGGCTGACCGCAAGCACAGTGTGTAGTGTAGTGTAGTATACACTGCGTCCTCACTGTGTAACTATGTAGGTATTATTATTTCATACTTGGTGTTCCCTCAAATTGTGCTGCCAAATTTTCGATAGAAGTTTGAAGTTTCAAACAATTTATGTGCTTGAAGTACAAGGTGTCAAAACATTTTATGTTTATATCTACCTAGGCTCTGTATGGGCTATCCTTAGGGGGTACGCAAACTTGCTCGACACTCCTCTTGTAACCCACCCTTTGACCTAGTCCACATTCCTAGCTATTGTTTTGAAATGGTATTGAGAGTTAGGGCGTTCCTAGCCTGCATAACCTTTTTTTTTTGTTAAAGGGCCCACTATTAGTTGTCACCCTGCCCGTTTGTCTTGCCCTGCCCCACTCAGTCGCGACCTGCTGCCCGTTAGCGCCGCCTTACCTAGCGCGACCGCAGCTGCCCTGCCCGTGCAACCTCTCGCACCCTGTCCTGCCCCGCGCGCAACCCGCATGCAGCCCCACACACGCATTGCCCGTGCGCTGCCTGCACACGCATTGCCACCGCACGACGCCTGCGCAGCCCACGCTGCCCACACTGCCTGCTGCCGCCCTGCCCACGCTGCCTGCCGCCGCCCTGCCCACGCCGCCTGCAGCTCTGCTGCCCGTGCTGCCTTCGCGCTGCCCGCTGCTGCGCTGATTCACGCTCTGCCTTGCCTGGCCGCCGCCAGCACTGCCCTGCATGCTGCCCAGCGCTGCCCTACCAAGCTACTACTTTGTGCGCGAACTAGAGGTTCGCTAGTTCGCTACTACTTTGTCTATCACGCCCGCACCAAACACATAGAGGTTTGCTACTACTTTGTTCGCGGGCTAGTGCAGTCTGGTTTCCTTTTCCTTCGCAAGGTGGCCGCCGACGCCAACCTTGCTGACATTTTCACCAAGGCACTTCTTCGTGCGCCGCACCTTCTCTACGTCCGCGTGCTTGGTCTCACTTGTCTCGCCACTTTTGGGGGTGTTCTGGTTCGCTACGTGTTCTGTTCCAGAGCTTCACCTAGCCTGGGGGTGTGTTGGAGTAGGCTAGTGTTCGCTCCGCATTTCATTTTGGCTTTATCTCATTTTCCGGCCACTTTTAGACTTAGTTTTATTTCTGGTTCATCTTAGATTCACTTTGCAGTTTGTCTCTGCATTGAACACGCCTTAGGTTCAGTTGGGGTTTCCCAACCCTAGCGGGGTTTCCCAACCCTAGCTTTCAAATGTCTCTCGACACTTTCTCTAGTTGAACATTTTCTTCTCACCTAATCCACCGCCATGGCTCTCCTAAGGATGCGCCAAATCCTGCTAAAAACGGCAATCAATCCTGCATAGGATCGATTTTTGATTGGGTTAGAGGAGGTTCTAACACATTATAGATGTCATTGCATGATTTCAATGTGGTGGGCGATCGATATTGCAAGATCGATTGCCGTATTTTGCAGGAGCTGACACGTCCTAAGTCTTATCTCAATAGAGCTAGCTGTGATAGAGCTGGAGGTGCTGGTGCTAGCGGTCCTCATACTTGTCAGCAGGAGACGCTCTCGTCGCAGCAGCTTTGCAAGAGGGCTGTCCGGTCGGGCTGCCCCGGTGGCGCTAGTAGATGCGGAGGTACCTGTGAGTCTACTCGTGCTGGTAGTGCCGCTAGTAGATGCGGAGGTTCTGGGGGTGGACAAGAGCAACAGTAGCGTCCGCTGCAGACTCTCTCCCCGCAGCAGCTTCGTAAGTGGGTTGACCGGTGGGGCAGCCCCGGTGGCGGTTTTGGGGTACTCGTACATGGGGTGTAGAGGTACTTGGTGGCGAAGAGGCTACTAGTCTTGGTGCTTTTGACTCAGCTAGCGTAGGGGCAGAGCTTGAGGAGGCCTTGCACACTTTTACCCTAGACTTATGCGCGTCTCGCTGCTTCTTCCGCGACAGCACCACAGTCACACCACTCACAGCCCCTGTCCCTGTCACACTGGCCGACCCCTTCGGTGGCCCGGTAGTGGCGTGTGGCGCTACTGTTCTCTCGTGTCCGGCGGCCCCTTCCGGCCTCCTCACAGGTCTCCACCTACCCTCCTTCGCTAAGAACTCGGTGGCTACCTCTGTCCTCTAGGACCAGTGGGTCACTGTCTCCCAGCCTGGAGGAGAGCTTGTGGCGATCTGTACAGACTCACGCACTAGTGAGCACCTTGCCACGTTCACTCGGAGGCCCGTGTCTGGTCTGTACACACTGACTACTGAATCTGCACTTGTGGTTGGTCATGTCAGGTAGCTGCATCAGTTGAGGTCGAGAAGGGTGTTCTGTCGCCCATACTGCGCGGATACTCAACTCGACGACCTCCAAGGGGAGGGTGTGCCCATGCTCGCCATCCTCGTGGCGTCTCCTCGCATCTGCTAGCCGAGTCTCCAGGGTATCCACAACATCCGCGTCACCTACGGAGCCAACCATGGGGACCAACACAGCTGCCGGCCTACGAACAAGATAGGTAGCGTGCAACTAAGTCGACTAGACTGAAGGTAGGTCGCAGTGCCGTCCACGCTCACAGCACCATGCAGAGATTACTACTACAATGGGAGTTAGACTATGGGGTAGGCACGGGGTAGGAGTGATCGTAGCGTTCCTTAATGTGTTTGCTTGTGTTATCTGTACGCACATATTTACGGGGAGTATTGGCAATAGTTTCACTAGCAAAATTTTACAACAATGGCACACAGAGGAAAAGCAACATTGACTACATCAGATGCTAGCAAACATGCAGGTCGACTGCCAGCGCAGTAAGGCCGACCGCGCTCCATCAGTGCAAAGTCATGGCCCGCCAACACTGGAAGTGGACGGCGTGCCAACGCTGCAATCAGGCGGCTGCACAGCGTTGCACCCGCAAGGCAGCAATGCACCTGCTTCACATGTGCACGCTGATAATTGGCGTGTTGTGCCTCATCATCCGCACAGCGCAGAGCACTAGGTCATCCACGTGCCGTCAACTGCACCTGATCAGCCACGTCGACCTCGGGATACCACCACCGAGGTCGGCATTACAAGAACCACTTGGGCAATTGTCGCGCTCCTCCACAAAACCCTGTCACCCGGGTAACTTGGTCGACCTGGCAACCACCAAGCCAGCGTTGACATGTGTGTCGGCTGTCTACCACCTGCACGTGCCCATCGACCACCCAGGTCAACGACCACCAGCCGACTTCACCAAGTCGGCTTCCCCAGGCCGGCATCAAGAAGTCTGCGCCGCTCATGTCGACGCCCCAAAGTCGGCATCCTCCCAGGTCGACCTCGCCAAATCGACTACTCGTTCTCAGCGCCCTCCAAAGTCGGCGCACCTCCAGGTCGACGTCGGCGCCCTCCAAGGTCGGCGCATTTCCCCTCGTTGACCGCCGGGTTGAAGTCGGCCGCCGGCTCCCCAAAGTTGGCAGCTTCGCAGTGACCCCGTGCAGGTCGACCAAGCTCGTCGACCAGCCCGCCCAAGTCGGCGTCGACCACTGCTGTAGGTGGGAGACCTGAGACCAGACGGTGACGTACGATCCTACTCAGATGGTGGAAGGACGGTTGACCTAGACGGTGGTGCCAGAGGACCGACAGGTGGGTGAATGACCGATAGTTGCAGGACACAGCAACTACCTGACCTGATCATACCAGACCTGACCTAGTGTGGTGGTACCTAGTGTGTAGTGAGTACAGACCAGAGCTTGGCTCCCTATGGAAAGTGGCTAGAGGCGCCCTAGTGGCACCATCTGTGCAGGAGGCAATAGGCTTGTCCAGAGGTGACAGTATCTGGAGTGTGTAGTGGTGTGAGGTCGGTGTAGTTGCGAAAGAAGTAGATAGACACTCTTAAGTGTAGGGTGAAGGAAAGCTTTGCAGTCGGTGAGGTCGCACCCGAGCCAGCGAAAAAGACTGGTAATAGACTAGTGGTAGCAGTAGCTCCCACACAAAGACCCTCAGAGGCGCCTAGTCCGGAAACTACACACGCACCAAGACTAGAAACAGAGGTCTCTACTCGTGCAGCCGGAAAATATCCTAGACCAAGAAGGTGAGATTCAACTGGTGCAACAGTGCCCTGGCGAAGACGTGAAGGCCAGTGGAGTGTTACAGCGTCAGGACCAAAACGTTCACGGTGGAGGTCGTCGAGTCAACGGTAGCAGCGAGACGTAGAGTGGTTAGGACTCTAGCAGGTAATGCCAGCACCGGGGCTAGTCAGGATCAGGTACTCGTAGGGACCAACGTCGCGCCTACTCTTGGCTGAGCCGTTGCTAAGGCCGGTATTCCTAGGACCCTCAGGTCCCCACTGCCGGGAGTGCTGCATCTGCAAATGTAGCGGCTGACCTTGCTGCAGCATAACTCTAGTAGACCCTATGGTGGGTGCTAGAGATGGTCGAGCGTGGTGGGGAGTAGCTAGGAGCTGTCGGGTATGGTCTGGTGCGGTCTATTGCAGTGGAAAACGGCTAGTAGTAGTTGGTAACGGGGCCTTCTAGCTATGGGGTAGCTACTACAGGTGGGGTAGCGGGTGGGACAACTGGGTACGGGTGGGGCAGCGAGGAACAGGTGGGGCAGTTAGGAACAGGTGGGGCAGCAGGTTACGCGTGTGGTAGCGGGTGGGGCGGCTGGTTACAGGTATGGCAGCACGCTACGGGTGGGGCAGCAGATTTCTAGTGGGGCCTAAGCTGCTGCTGGTGCTGCGGGCGGCGGCCTAAGCTGTTCATAGTGCTGCTCGCGGCAGTGTATGTGTCAACGGGTGGGGCAGGTAATGGGTGGGGCAGTTAACGGGCGGGGCAGCTCTTGGGAAGGAGGGTTTCAATATGTGGGGCGGCGAGTTTTGTTGTGTGATGCAACCATATGCATTCACGTCTGTCTGCCTCCCATCATGTCTTTGTGCGTTGCATGCGTGGTGTGAGCGTGTGCAAGAAATTTGTGTCTTGTGTGGTTTGGATTTTCTGTATGTGTGTGTGTATGCTATTTGGCTTGAGCAGATATCTGAAGTGATTCCTCTACTCAAGAGCTTTCCGACGAACCAAGAATCGTCGCGATCGGAGCAGGAACAAGAAAGTTACGAACATTGGAGTTCGTATGCTTATATATTTTGGTTGCAGCTACTTTGGGAAGTTGTGGCATTGACTCAATATGGGGTACAGACTTGTGGGGGTTGGGAAATTCGAACCCATCACTGTAGATGCTGCCAAGAGGTTGGGTGAAGCCAAACCAGGTTGGTAAGTGTGGCCAAGTTGAGGTGAGGTGGATGGCATGGGTTGGAAAGTGACAAAGGTCAAAGTTTGTTGCCTATGGGGAAGGGAATTGTGTGGCATGGGGTTTCCTTGGTTGGGGACTCTCTCTTGGGACCTTCCCTCTCGTCCTCCTCTTCCCCTCCTACCAGGTTTAGTGCTACTCTAATGTTCTTTTGTGGGACTTGTGAGTAAATTGTGATTGAGTTAAATTTCTGTGGCAGCATACCCCCTAGTGCGCCGAAAAACATAACTCAAGATATGCTTCATATTTTGACACGATTCAAATTGGAAAATGTAGCCACGGTTTAGGGCTACAACATATTTGAATTTCGTGGGATTCTAACTGTGCACCTTCCGTCGACAACGTTTCTTGTGAAGTCGACGTTTCTGTCCAGAAATTGAGACCAACGACTTTGAGAAATTTGGGCACCTAATCTTCATAGACTCCGTCCTTAGTCTCTAACAAGTTTCAGGTGGGAGGGCAGTTGCAGGTCGTGGAGGGGTGG